ACAAATGATTTCATCTTAGGCCTGTTTGATACTAGACACTAACACTTCTTGAGACCAAGTCACTTATTTTTCCTGTTAGATAACATGAACAAATTCTGATTAATAAACCCAGGTATAATAAAAGTATTACACCCAATGTTATAATTCTAAAGACATGTATTTTTCATATTAAACCATTAAATATTAAGCTAGTTTTCATCAACCAAAACTTGTCCCAAATTACATGATCTTGAAAAACATTTGGGTGAGTTTCTGTTATTTTTCTGAATTTAGAAATACTATGTAGGTAATTAATTTTCATAGGCCAATGATTTTTTTTTTGTAATACCATCCAAGGTAAAGCAGTTACATATAGGAGGACATGCATACACTTACTTTCATACAAGCCTACTGTCAGACTCAAATCAGCATTCAAACATTTTTTTTCTCCTGTTTCTTATTTCATCTAGTTAAGAAAAGGGAGTGGTACCACTTTCTAGACTCATAATTAGGTTTTGCAAGAAGGCTTTGTCTTTGCTTCAGGGAGAAAGCCAGAAAATTTTCCTATCAGTGTCTGAGTATCATTTTCCAATTTGACCAAGTCATTAACCACAGAGTTATTATAAGATTCCTTTCAAATATCTTGTCAATTTTCAGTCAAAATGAACAGAAAATATTTCTGACAGTATTAGAAAGCCTCAGAATCCTTCCATAGATAACTGAAGACAGACGGATAATTCCCTAAAGGCTGGTGATGGGAATGCCCTATCTCTGTTCAGCAATATTTTGAGGCCAATCCCATAGCAAAATGGCAAAAGAGTAAAAGAAAACATCTAATTCTATGATTTTTTTTCTTTAGAAAGAATACCACAAAGGCAGACAGTCAGTGTTGGACATAAGGAGGAGGAGAAGAAAGAGTTAGAATGAGATTTCCTATCTTCTTTTCTGCTGTTTTTATTAAGGCTATTCAGGATATCAATCAATTTTTCTTCTTTTTAAATATATGGGTTTCTTAAAAAGACAAGTTTTGGAAACTCAAAAGAGCCCCCTAGTGACCATTATAATCTTAAAGACATCTTTAGTATTGTTGACCCAGAGAGATGAGACTTTGAAAAAACAATGTTTTAAGTTTGATTTTTGTGCTTTTGCCTAATTAAGACACTTCCTAAGGCTAACCAAGACACTATTTTATATTTCCTTCCTCTTATTTTTCTGATTCAATTGCTTGGAAACAAGACAAATTTGAATTGAGAGCTCTCTAAAATGTTCATTGTTAGCAATATACAATAGAATTAAAGCAATTTAGAAGTTTTCCAATTCAAGAGCTACTCAGCCAATCAATAGACATTATTTATAACTTAAGCAAAAATCCAGAGATGTTCACTCACAGCATAAAACATGACAAAAGGAAAGACTCAATGCACATAAACAGCTTTCAGTTAAAGCCTTGAATCTCTTAGAGTCAAAAATCTAAACCCTGGGAGAGATATGCTACAGGGTTCAGGGGATCATGGTGCACAGATCTTTCTTGTGGTTGGCAGGTACTAATCTAACTTATTCTGTGACCAATTTGTCCCTTTCATAGGAGACTCCATTTAGGTGGCAAGAGCTCTAACTGCTTTTAAATGCTTGATACATGCCCACCAAATTTGTATCTTGCTTTGGTTTCTAATATTTCCTTAGAAGGACATTTTTACCATAGTGCACATTAAGAGTCTCTCTTATAACAGTACAGGAAGCAGAATATGTGGGTGGAAATACTTTTACCCAGACCTCAAGATCAGAAAACCTAGCAAATCTGCACCCAAATCTCCTACCCAGAGAACAGAACAGCACTTTAGAAGCAGAAGAACCTGTTTTCTGGACCTTGAGTTGGAAATAGTTAATAAACTTATCATAGCATGACAAAACATGACCAAATCTCACTTCTCAAAAAGAAATAATTAAGGAAGGAAAGTCCTTTGTTAATTACTCAACTAAAACCAAACAACAGTGATTAAAAATGAAGTCTCAAGAGGGAGACTGAAGGAGGAGACAGAGGAACCAAATGCCATCTTTAGGAGTGACCGTCAAGGCTCTAGGAAAGACAAGACCCAAAAGATCCACCGTAATTAAGGATGAAATCCTTAAACTCAAAGAGTTGCACAAGACCGAAGAAGCTAGCTTCTTTAATATTTTCTCCTGCTAATCAAACTTAGAGAGGGAAATAAATTCTCCATTTGGTTTCCATTAGATTTCTAAAAGGGGAGGGATCAGGAATCTGATGTAATAAAAATCTTTACCATATTAAGCCAGCCTTGCCCAAAGTCCTGATCTCATCTTTTGCAGCTATTCAGGGAAAGAAGCAACTTCTAGTCTTCTGATAAGCCTGTTGGCTGCCTTGCCAAATTACAGGGATGCAGGAAAACATTCCTCCACCCTTCTGAGTTCTTCTGAGGCTGGACAAACCAACATCAGAAAGATTAGTAGGAGAATAGGACAAAAATTAATAACATATATATGGAGAATTTACTTGGCTGTAAATCCTAAGTAAATGGGAAAAAACTGGAGCTTATAGCCTATGCTAAGGAATAGCGTCGGGGCCTGGGGTGTCAAAGAAAGGGGAGAGGGTTTCAAATAATGAGTAGGGAATGACTTCATAAGACAAAACTTTGCCTTTCCTTAATCCAGGTTTCTAGGTGACAAAGGTTGTTTCTGGAGATAACGTAAGTCTATGTAATCTGCCTTCTTTCAGTAACGGTGAGTTTCTTAAAAGCTCACAGGGCCTGAAGTGAACAAGGTGACACATATTGGAAAAGGCCCACCCTGGACATCTTGGGGAAGAACCTGTGAAACCTTTTGGGGAGACCGATTCAACAAATACCAACCTCTTTTAAATGTTTGCTAACTTTTTTTTTTTTTTTTGCTATGCAAGTAAAGCCTGAAAAATAGATTTTAACTATGCCTTCTTGACAAGTTTGGGTACTTGCAACTTTAAGAAGTTATGGCTGCTTAGAGTTATAAAACACCAAAATCCGGGCCTCCCCTGATGGCACAGCAGTTGAGTGCTGGGCTGTGAGGCTGCCTGCAGCCTCTGCAACCCCGGTTCGTTCCGTTCCCCGGCTGCCAGCAAGGGTCCCACAAAAAAATAAAAATAAAAAACAAAACACCAAAATCCTAGTGTGCAGAGGTACCTCTTGCTATTTAAGGCAGTAGATAAAAGACGTAGAAAAGGAAATGCCAACAGTATAACTCTTGCCTGAATGGCTAATGTAGATATCTAGTTATCAGACCAGTTTTCATGTGGTTTAGTTCACAGAGACATTTCAGCTTCCTCTGTTCATTGCTTATCTTGAAATTGGGCGTTCCAGGTTGTGCTCAGTAGTTGATTTATCCCCTTATCTGTTAAAGACCATCTGCTAGGAAGAGCCTTACAGAGCATTTCTAACACCCTGGCTTATGAGGAAAGCAACTGGTTGACCCTTTCCTTCCGGTGCACAGAGTAAAACACCAGGTACCTGAGCACCTGGGGTTCCGTGTAGTCACCATGAAACCCGTGTCTGAAACAGGCTTGCCTGCTTTTCTCATCTCATCTAGTGTTAGGTACAGCCTGACTCCCATTCCTTAGGAAGAAAACCTCAGATCCCTCAGCCAAAGTTCTGCCCTTCCTTTAGCTTCCTGAATTTTACAGTGAGCTGACATGACAGTACTATAACATGGCATGGTATGACCATGTGTGATATGCTAGCATGTGTGGGAGATGACATGTCTTCATAGGGTGTATGTCATTACGTGATGTGGCTAGTGTACACATGATGTGATATGATCTACAGCTTGACTAATAGGACTTGCTATCAAATAACACATGACATAATATCCATAAACTCTAAGCAGCAAGATATCAAGAGTCAGTTTTTCTTAGTCAGTTTTTAAATCCTTCCCCCAACGTTCCTGATGCTATTTAATGGCCCAGAGGTTCTGGTCTCTTCTTTCCACACAATCTTCTCCTCTGTGCAACTGTTGGCTGCTCACACCGCTTCCCTTTGGACTTCTTTCTCCATAATTGGCATTTGTGTACAGAACACTAACCAGAGCTTGTGTCCAGTCCCCGAGAGTCTTCTGTCTAGAAAGCTCATCTACTCTCTCTTGAAGCTACCACCCTAAATAAAAGCTCCTGGGCTGTGATTATCCATGATTGAGCTTTAGTTTCTGGAGTCTTTCTAACCCTGTATTTTGCTGATCAGTATGCCTGTTGCTTTTTAAAACAATTGTGTACAATGATCTCTTCATACCTGGGGATTTGTGCAAATGAACTATAGTTGTAAAATGCATCCCCAGGAAAAGTTTTTGGTTAGTTATATGCTTATTGCTTACAGTATCTGCATACTTTTCTTTATGGTTTAAATAGTAAGTCCTAACAACCATTTAGAAAGGTACTCAATCCAAGTATGATTTTTGCTTATTTCTGCATGTTTAAAAACTCTACATAAAGTGAATTTAATGCATTTTTTATTTAGTGGCCTTTAAATTTGTGACATTTGTGTGTGTGTGTGTGTGTATTCACCCCTTGACTTTTGCATGACTTCTTGAAAACATTTTCAATTTTTTTTTTTTATAGTACAAGTCCTGTAGCCTTACTGCTAATTCTTACTGCCAGTAGCAGTCACACTAAGCCCCAGAATTATTGTGTTGACTTATTTCACAAATTTAGCTAGGTCTTAGTTCAAGTAATTACTTTTTTAAATACTTCCTGTCAAAAAAAAATACTTTCAGTTAACACAAATATATCTAGATGCCTGTTTGGTTCTATACTTCTGGCCTAGTGGGAAGGAAAATGGGATACATAACTGAGAGAACATTTTTCAGGAGAGTGATGAAAAGATTCTAAAACTGACCATGGTGGAAGTTGCACAATTCTGTGAATATGCTGAAATTCATTTAATTGGGCATTTTAAATCAATGAATTGTGTGTGCGTGTATGAGCTGTATATCTCAATGAAACTGTCACACTGAAGGAATCTTACCCACTTCTTGTGACTCAGGGTACAATAGCGAACTCGCTGACGTGTGTCCAGCTTCACAAACGAGCCGAGAAGATAGCGGTGATGCTGATGGAAAGGGGGCACCTGCAGGATGGGGACCACGTAGCTCTCGTCTACCCACCAGGTAAAGAGCAGACTCGGAGGTTCCAGGTGTGGCAGGACAGCACCTATGACACTGCTTCCCACTGTGTCTACTAACTGCTGATAATAGTGACAACTCAAATAAACGTTTAGAGACTTAAATAAAGCTCCTATTTCATAGTCTTTTGTGTCCAAATTTGCCTTTTTAGCTAGCTGGGGTAGTTTATTTAGTCAATATTACTTAAATCCTTAGCAACTAAATTGATAATCATACAGCTGAGCAATTCCTCAGAGAAATGACAGAAATTGAGCTTTTGGGCTGCTTTGGCATCTTGTGCCTAAAAGAGCAGTCCAGGTGAAAATGATTTCTGAAGCTTCCTAAAACCACAGGGACAAAGAAGGAATCTGTTCAGTCTCAGATGCTCACTTCACCTTCTGACTCTTCCGGGCTGGTTGTTTTTGCTGACAGCCATTAAATGGTGTGATTTGTCACACATGAGAACTTCAGCTTTTCTCCCCATGTAGGAATAGACCTTATCGCAGCCTTCTATGGCTGCCTGTACGCAGGCTGCGTGCCAATCACCGTTCGTCCTCCACACCCGCAGAACATCGCTACAACGCTGCCCACCGTAAAGATGATCGTAGAGGTAAGGCTGCCTGGAAGTGTCTGGCACTCCCCTGCGCCGGGCCTGAGTGTCGACCTCGTAGATCACAGAGCCTGGGCCCTCTTGGGGATTGCGTGGGGTCTGCAGTCCCAGACACATGGCAGGACTTGGTTTCTATCCTTAGGGAATTTATCTTCCATTTCCGGAAGCAATAGTTAAGTGTGTGTGAGAACTTCAGACCCACAGGAGAGCTTTACTGAGATGGGTCAGAATTGAAGGCCCGCTAGAGAAAGCGGTCCCAGAGAACACATCCCTGTGGACATGAAGCTTCCCCAAACCCAGGGAGCAGACTGACCAAGTGAAAAAGTCATACATTAAAAAAAAAAACACTTTCCTCAAGATTTATGACTGTCCATTCCTTTTTGAGTGTATCAGTTTTTGTTTTTTTTAAAAGTTATGCCTTGAGAAGTATAAGAGGCTTTGGCTATGCTTTTCCTCTTGGGGAAAAAGCCATGCGAGACAGATTAGTTCAGCAATGCCACAAAAGAAAATAAATAAAATAGGGCCTCCCTGGTGGCGCTAGGGGTTAAGACACAACCTATGAGGCTGCCCCCAGCCTCTGCAGCACAAGTTCAATCCCCAGCAAGGGAGCTACCCACATGGCGCAGCAGACCTCTCCTGTCTTGCCCGCTGCTCCCCTCAGCAGTATATTTCAGATCTGCCTTTTCTGCTCCCCACTCTGTCTCTGGTGAATCCTCTCACCCCCCACACCTCTGGCCTGTACCCCAGCTCTTGTATGCATAAATAAATAAATCTTTAAAGAAAAAAGAAATAAAATAAAAACGAAAGGATAGCATATCCTGACTAAGTGGAATTTATCCCAGGGATAGAAGGCTGCTTCCTGTTCAAAAGTGAATAAACATATCAACTGATAAGTGGTAAATAAAATGTGATATAATCATAAAAAATAGAAATACTTTTTTATAGTTGGAACACTTCCGTGGTCGTTGCTCCCATGAGAGATACGACTGTCCCTGGATACACATAGCACTTCTAATAGGACAGGCTGTAACCATGGAGCAGTGAATGTGATGCTCCTCTCTGAGTGTGAACATAGCACTGGGCTCTCTTAGCTATGCGAATGACCAAGGACCTCAGTCCCCATGAGCTCAGTCTGCTTTTTGGCTCTCTGGGGGTTCCACTGGCCAAGCCTGGCTTCTTTGGGGCAGACTTGCACCTGGTGGTCTTTCTGCTCCTCTAGCTGTGCGTCCTCAGCTGAGCAGTGGGTCTCACAGCCCCTCCCTCTTCAGTTTACCTTCCTTCACTGCATTCTCTGTTCTCTGACCTTCAGGTGAGTCGCTCTGCCTGCTTGATGACAACACAACTGATCTGTAAATTGTTACGGTCCAGGGAGGCAGCTGCGGCCGTAGACATCAGGGCCTGGCCCCCCATACTGGACACAGGTCAGTCCTCCAACAAGCCAGGCAGGTGTGTTATCTATTCTTCCTTTGGTCAGATATGCTAATTGCTTTGTCTCGCATTCCAGATGATTTGCCAAAGAAGCGGCCTGCCCAGATCTACAAACCTTCCAACCCAGACACGCTAGCTTATCTTGACTTTAGTGTGTCCACAACGGGGATGCTAGCTGGAGTAAAGGTGAGACAGGCAGTCTGCATAATGTGTATTGTCACCTGGGTTTTCAGTTTATGTTCTGTGCAAAGCAGGACTGGGTGGGACCTGCAGTGCATCATGGGGAGAGGAATCACTATACATCTCGCCCAGGCTATGAGGTGCACAACCATTTCAGAGATTAACTGGGCTAATTCTTTCCAAATATTCCACCTTTTTTTTTTTTGGTAATGTAAACACAGCCTCATTAGCCCATAATAGGAAACTATAAATTTTTTTTGTCTTGTTCATTCTCAAATCTCAATACTCTGTCTATTGTTAAACTTTGCCATGGACTTTCTTGCTTTTTTAAAGTGAGTTCTGTTCTAACTTGCCAGTTTGCTGCTACGGCAGCTGCAGTGATCCCTTTCCTATCAGAAATGGAGCTGCTGTGTGTGTCCTAGAATAGGGCCCTGCTGCACACTCTTAAATTCCGTGTAGCCCCAGGAAACCATTCCCCATTATCTGCCCCATTATCAGGTTCTCACTGTTGAGTTTGCACAATTTAGCTTTTTAGTTCCTACTCTATCTACTTTATTCCCTACCCAATTTTTTAAATTGTGGTTAAAAAAAACACACACACATAACATAAAATTTCCCATCTTCACCAATTTAAGTGTACCGTTCAATGGTGTTCTTTAATTCAAAATATGTAGCCATCACTGTCTTCTATCTCCATAATTCTTTCCATCTTATAAAACTGAAACTTGATACCCATTAAACAACAGCCTCCCTTACTCCCCTAGTCCCTGGTAATCACCATCTGCTTTCTGTCTGTGATTTTGCCTACTCCAGGTACCTACGAAAGTAGAGTTGTTTCTCTTCTAGTGTCTGACTTATTTCTCTTAACATAATTTCCTCAAGGTTTAACCATGTCCCACCAAGTGTCAGACATTCCTTCCATTTTTAAGGCTAATATTTCACTGTATGGATAGGTTTCATTTTGTTTATCCAGTCATTGATAGACACGTGTTAACTGTTGCTTCCATATTTTAGCTATTGTTATTAATGTGGCTATGAACATAGGTGTTATGGGTATATACCCAGAAATGAAACACTTTTTCTGGGTACATACCCAGAAGTGGAATTGCTGGATCAGGTTTTTTTTTTTTCATTTCTTAAGGGGGGCCCCCCATGTTATTTTGAACGATAGCTGCACCATTTTATATTCTCATCAACAGTACCCAAGGGCGGGGGACACAGCGCTGACCTGCCATTCAAATGCCAGCCTAGTTAATCCAATTGCCAGAGTCATTATATCCTAGGGGACCAGGAAGGTTTGTGGGTGTTTTGCTCATTGAGATGGAAAGACTCTCTCCGAGCTAAAGCTCAACTGCAATCACCCTCACTTCTAAAACCACTCTGAAAGCAGTGCCAAGCTCTATAGATTTATTGCAGCCGTGTGGTCGTTGGTGTCTTTAGGATGGTGTCAGGGTCCCTGCATTCAGTGCACCCTTGCAGTGTCTTTAAGATGGATGTCAGGCTCATACAGTTCATGTTCTTGTTGACTTGTAGTGTCTCTGAGGTAGAAGTCACACTCCATGTATTTACTGTGCCCTGTGGTCTTCAGTGTCTTTAGGATGAATGTCCTGCTTCTTGCCTTTAACTCACCTGTTATCTTGCAGATGTCTCACGCAGCCACCAGTGCCTTTTGCCGTTCTATTAAACTGCAGTGTGAGCTCTACCCCTCTAGAGAAGTGGCCATCTGCCTGGACCCTTACTGTGGACTTGGGTTTGTCCTGTGGTGCCTCTGCAGGTGAGTTCCACTTCAGTATCTTTGAAAACAGTAAATAAAGAAACCTTCAGCCTTTCTAGACCACTTGCAGAGAAGATGCTGATACTGTGGAGCAGAGGCCAGCACAGCTGAATCGCAGGTCAGTCCCTGTGCCCGTCTCTCTGCAGGGCCCTCAGTGCTGTGGTATTTTGCATTAACAGCAGCTGAAAAAATGAGTCCCCAGGAAGTTTGCTGAGACTCCAACAGAAACTGTGTCTGTTTGGAGCCCATATTTCACAAACAGGGGAATCCCAGGCCTTCAGCTTGGTTCTTCTGCCTTTAAATCCTAGAAGTTAATGTTGGACTGGAATTCGTATTAAATTTGTGGGTATTTCAGGCTTCAGCTTCTCTCTGACTTAGGTGGAAAGGGCCATTCTTAAGGGTGTGAGATGATAGCTCATGGTTTTAACCTGTATCTCTCTTACTGGAGTTGATGATCAACAATTTTCCATGTACCTACTTGCCTCCTAGATATCTTTTTTGATGGATTGTCTGTTCAGACCTGCTGCCCATTTATTAATTGGGTTGTTTGGTTTTCTTTTGTTAAATTCTATCAGGTTTTTTTTATTTTTCTTGGATATTTACCCCTTGTCAGTTATGTAATATATAAATATTTTGTCACGTTCAGTAAGATATCTTTTTAATCTGTGTGTATTGTCTTTGGCTTTGGAAGAGTTTTTTCTTTTGAGGTAACCCCAATTGTTCATTTTTTATTTTATTTCCTTTGACAGCAGGTTTAATCTCCAAAGACATCTTTGTCATTGATGTCATCAGTATATTGCCAATTTTTATATGTATTTTGTTGCAAGTCTTAAATCTAGATCTTTAATACATTTGGAATTTATTTTTGTGCATGGAGTTAGAGAGTGATCCAACTTCTTTCTTTGGCATGTCACCTTCCAGTTTTCCCAGCATCATTAATTAAAGAGTCTCTCCTTTCTCCACTGTATAGTCATGGCTGCTTTATCACAAATTGAGTATTGATATGGATGTGGATTTATTTCTGGGCTTTCAGTTCTCTTGCATGATTGTGTGTCTATTTTTATGCCAATGCCATGTTGTTTTTTGTACTGTCACTTTATAGCATAAAGTCAAGTAATAACATGCCTCAGTTTCTCTCCTTTCCTCTCATGACTGCTTTTGTTATTTGAGGCCAATCATAGTTCCATATAAATTTCAATATATTCTTTGTTCAATTTCCCTAAGGAACATTATTGGTATTTTGATGGGGATTTCATTAAATTTGTATACTCTTTTAGGTAGGATAGTAATTTGGTTATATTATTCTTCCCATCCATGAGCATAGAATGTCTTTCTGTCTCCTTATGTTGCTATCTAACTTCTTTAATACTGTGTTATAGTTATCATTGTATGGTTCTCCACCTCCTTGGTTTGTTCTGAGGTATTTTATTCTTCTGAAGTGATTGCAAATAGAATTTTTTTTATTTAATATTTTTCTTAATGTTGTCTTCCATCATATTAATGGGCATGAGGAAAGAAGTAAGACTGTATTTAATTTTCACAAGTATGCATGAAATTCTCTAGACTTGAATTCCACTCTGTAGACCTAGCCCTTTCATTTGCTAACATTCTGCTCACACAAATAATTTATCCTGATATACATTCTCAAGAAAGCTATTGGTGGGTTATTTGTATTTGATTTTCTTCATTTTGGGTCTCCTTATGATTGCATTTATGAAATAAAATTATGGTAACCATATGGAAACCATAGATTGCCATAAATAAGAGGAAAATCATGATAAAGTTTTAGCCATGTTTTGATTTTCTGAGACATGGGGCTCAAATGTTGTAAAGTATGGTTGGTACCTGGCACTAAAATATAAACATCCTTAGTCTGAAAGATAAGCTGTTTAAATTTGAGCTGCAATAAAATTCATACAGAGAAATCTAATTAAGGTGGTATTATTAACTCTGATTCATACATGGGTTGATAACATTCGGTGTTAAACAGTAAACCATGCCCAGTTACTTCTCAGAGAGGTGGCACACATGTTTTCAGTGGATAATTACAATTTGTAAGGTACATAATGTGCAGGCTGCTACCTGGTATATTAGCCCATTTTTGGCACTGATACTATTCTGTTAAAATCCATTCAGTGAAGTAAATTTCCCATTATTTTATATTTTCCTGCTTACTGCTTCCTGAGGCTTCTAATTGTAGTTGACAATTAGCTCCTCCGGATCTGATTCAAAATCACACCAGATGTGGCGCGTAGGCTGATTTTAGAATCCTGTGCTCTAAGTGGCAAAGTCAGGCTGAAGGGCTGTACGTGCCATGTAAAACAGCGTTGTCTGAACGCAAATGCCTCTGCTCTGTCTTCTTTCTCAGAGGCTGCCTGCCACTGGGAGGGTCTTCGAGGAAGGAGACAGTGTTGTGTTGTCTGTCCTGGCTCTGACAGCCCTGGTTCAGGCTTGGGCTCCAGAAATGATCTCTAGCCCCTCTGCACATGTGAGGACACGAGCCCCCTTCTTGTGCTGTCGAGCGGTTTGGTTTGTTTTTGGACCTTGAGTGTATAATTTTTTTGAGAATGATATAGTATATCTTAAAAGTGAAAAAACAAGCAACACATATTGAGAAACTTATCTGGTGCTGGTTTTCTAAACTAAATAGACGCTCTGATTTTAAAGAATGTCAATTCTGGATATGAGAACTTCTGGGTAGAAGTTTGTTTTCCCAAATTGCATGGTTAGATGAAATTTGCATAGAAATGTTGTTTGATAAATGTTACTTATAAAAGGTAGTTTTTTGTGCAGGGTGTCGGGGCTTTGAAATGTGGATATATCTATTGTAATGTCATTTGATCTCTATTAAATAACCTTAGTATAAAGTGGTATTTAAATGGCCTAAATTGATTTTCCCAAGAATAAATCTTTGGTTTTGGTATATTGACTACAAAAATAACCTGCCATTCATTTCCACAGGGCTTCATAGGAATGTGCAGGGTTGTGTAATTGTATACTTATAAAACTTACATGACAGCAAAATTTCAAAGAACACGTTTAAGTTTGGAGCATACTAATCCTTTCTCCTTTCTCCTGGTCAGAAACTGGTTAGTACCACTCCAGAGTTCTCTAAAGTCCATTGAAACAACTTGGAACTGGTTCCTATTCCAATTTGAATTTCATTTAATTTTTTTTTTAAGTTTAAGAAACATGAGGAGTCCATTCACTTCCAATCAGTTATTGTACAATGAGAGGCCGGTGGCTCAGAGCTAAAATAAGAACAGACAAGTAGTGTAATGGGGAATCCATCAATCACATTCACAGAAAATGACACAGTGATAATTTATCTATTATTTATCACACAAATAGAAGATTGTGGATTGTAGGAGCACTTAAATACAAAGGTATCAATAATTACAAATAGAGAATAATTTTATAAATAAGTAGAAATTAATTATGATATATGAAAAAGGGAAAATACCTTCTGTTATATTTATCAACAAAGCTTGTTATATGAAATGTGTGTGATCCCTGGAAAATGAATATGTTTCATTTTAAAAATGAGAAAGCTATCTAAAAACTGTTAGTGAGCTGGCGTTGGCAGGAAGAGACTTTTACTGGGGGGGAGGTCCAATGTGAGAGGGTTGGGCAGAATCCTGTGCTCTCTAAACAGCCCTTCTGGGAGCAGGCACAGATTGCAGGCTGGGGGATCCTGGTGACTGGACCTGAGTCGTCCATAACATGTAGGTTCCATCCCGAAGGGACATCCAAGGAGCAAAAACAGATTCTTTAAATGTACTTAGATATTGATTATTCTTGTTGTATCCAAAAAAGATTTTGGTTATTTGTACATGGTAGACTTTATTTAAGAAACTTCTTGAAAGTTCTTTCTTGTGATTTTTCACTTGCTCGGTAGATGAGCAGGAGATCATGGAGGGAAGGTGAGCTCATGGCTTGGTGTTTTCTCAAAACTTTGGACAGATTATTTATTCCTCCTGGAGGAAGTACTTTCATTTAAAAAGAGAAATTGGTTTAAATGGGGTTTTTATTGCACTCTTAAATAATAGTGGCATCTGAGTGTACATTGAGATGCTTGAATATATTTCATGTAGCCTGTGCCTGAATACTGACTGGGATAGAACGATTGAAATAAAGTGGCAGTGTTTTACTCTGATATTTGTTCAGAGGACATCAATAATTAATATTCCCGGCTTACAGAACTTGAAATAATAAAGCAAGAGAAAAAACAGTGTAGCATTATAATGTCCTGTCATAACATTTTGTGTGTGTCTGTGTCTGTGTGTGTACAGCTCTGATGGGTGACTTTCACACTTTTTGATTTTTAGTTTTCAACAGACAGGAACATGTTAAATTTCCTCAATCAGTAATTCAGTAAAAAACAATCGTAGGACAATGTACTGTGGTGGAGGACTGTGAGTGCCTTGGTGGAGGGTGTGGTGTGGTGACATGCATCTGAGAAGGTGTGATTCTGTGACTCTAAATCACATAGTGTTTTAAACCAGTGTTATCTCAATTTTAAAAAGTGTCTAAAAAATGGGCAAAGGACTCAATTAGACATTTCTCCAGAGAAAACATACAAATGATCAATTAGCACATGAAAAGATGCTCAACATTAGTCATCAGGGAAATGCAAATCAAAAGCACAATGAGATAGCACTTCACACCCATTAGAATGGCTATAATTTTAAAAATTGGAAAATAAATATTGGAGAGAATATGGAGAAATTGGAACCCTCTTGCATTGCTGATGGGAATGAAAAACACTGCAGCTGCAAAACAATATGGCAGTGCCTCAAAAAATTAAACATACAATTACCATATGATCTAGCAATTCCAATTTTGAGTATATATCCAAAAGAATGGAAAATGGACTCAGGCAGATATTTCTACACCAGTGTTCACAGCAGCATTATTCACAATAGCCAAATTGTGGAAACACCCATTGCATTGATGAATGAATGGATAAACAAAATGTGCTATGGAATACAATGGAATATGATCAGCCCTAAAATGGAAGGAAATTCTGACATGTGCTACAATATGTGAACCTTAAAAGTATTAGGCTATATGAAATAACCCAGACATAAGACAACAAATATTATGTGATTCCACTTGTATGAAAGATCTGGAGTAGACAAATTCAGAGACAGAAAGTAGAGTGGAGGTTACCAGGACTGAAAGGCAAGACTGGAGAACAGAGTTAGTGTTTAACTGGGACAGAGCTTTTATTTAGGATGATGGACAGTTTTGAAGTAGGATAGTAGTGATGATAACACAACAGGGTGGATGTAATTAATGCCACTAAAGTGTACATTTTAAATGGCTAAATGGTAAACTTATGTATATTTAGACAAAGGAAGTCATTCATACAGCACAGTAATACCTTAAGTACCTAATCCCCTACTTCTCCAATGATTAAACCCTTTAGCAAGATCACAGCATAGGTCAATGTTTTCTCTCTCTCTTTTGAAAAAATTAAATGAAACTTTGGAACAGAGAAATAAAGAAATAAAAACTTCTAACAAATGCCTTTTGTCATATCCCTGAAGACTATCGTTTTCCTTCTAAATGTTTAAAGTATATTTTAATAACCAAGTTATCTCCCTTACATTTTTTTTAACCGGTTGTATTCTCTTATAAACACTTTATAAATGAGATTGGCCAAATAACAGTTTCATTATTGTAACAGCAATTAGGTTTTACTGCTTGATTTCATCAATGAGATTTTTTTAATAGCTAGGAAATCCCTTTTACTCAAACCTTAAAAGGTGATTTATCCAGGATAGCTTATTATAATGCATAATATTGATTAATGTTGATATAATAATAAACCAAAAACATTAAAATCATTAAAAATGTAGTCTGGCAAAGACTTCATTATTTTAAAAAACCATGTTTGCTCCATCAACTAATGAATTAAAAGTTGTAACCTATCATTTTCTTCATTTCTCTTGCTATAAAGTGAAAATGAAGAGTGAATAAATTTTCCTTGGTTCTTCTGTTTGGTGATGTGTTCAGTTCCTTTTGAAGACTCCAAACTTAAATAATTGACAAACTCTCTCTAATTGTCTTAATTTTCTTTCATTCACTCTGATGTCAGTTTTTAAGCCCGCTTTTTCTCAAGTGGTCATTTGTTAAGTATTTTAGGCTCCCTGGTCTCTGCTGTCACTGTTCAGCTCTGCCTGCCCACATGAAAGCTAGTGTAGACTGTGTTCAAACCAACGAACAGCCATTCTTGTTGGAAGAGGCAGCACTTAGTTTGCTAAGTTCTGTTCTAAAATTCCAATCATTTTAACAAAAGTCAACCCGTTTCCTACTGTTAATGAGAATCCAGTTTGTTCATAGTGTAGCTTTGAGGAAAACTAACAGCTTCAAGGGCTTTAGAGGTTTCAAATAAGAGCCCAAAATGATTACTCCAAGTCATTATTCCTAAACTACTTCTGAGCTTCTCAGAATGTTTTCATAAGCACACTTCCCTTTAGTGTTTGCAAGTGCCTCACCGTGGAGTTGGAGGGACAAAGCTTCTCCCCGTGGACCCTGCATCCTCCCAGGTGCAGGCTGGTCCTGCCTCTCCACACTCCCTGAACCCTCACTCTCTCCCCACAGTGTCTACTCTGGGCACCAGTCCATTCTTATCCCACCTTCGGAGTTGGAAACCAATCCAGCCTTGTGGCTTCTTGCTGTGAGTCAGTACAAAGTCCGGGATACGTTTTGCTCCTATTCGGTGATGGAACTTTGTACCAAGGGACTGGGCTCGCAGACTGAATCCCTCAAGGTAAGTGGCCCTGCAAGCACCAGCCTCAAAGTAGGTGTGCGAGTGTGGTGGTGGGGGAGGTAGGGGGGGGCGGGGGTCTTCCCGGTGTTTGGAAAAGCACATTGTCCCAGGGTGCAGGGGAAGTATGTGAAGTCAGAAGGATCCTTTACAAAAGCTCAAAGTAATACACTATCCCCTGAAGCTTACAAAAAACTGTTTTCATGTGAAAACCTTGTTTTATAACATGACTGTCATCCCACTGCCACAGTTATAGGTCAGAGTTTATGTTGTTTAATTTCATGATGTCTTTACTTTCATTAGATTATTTTAAAGGGTTCTAACTTGCTTTTTTATTTGTTGGTGAACACAGCTCTTAACTTTTTCAGTTACGTCAGTTTTATTCTGATGCTGGTATTTAAGTATGTATTCATTTTTGTTCTCCTTGAATATCTTGATTTGTGGGTCTGAATTCTAACCAAAATTCATCTTTATAATTAGCCAAAAGGTAGTGTGTGTGTGTGTGTGTGTGTGTGTGTATTTGTATGTGTGTGTGTATATATAGCTATAGGTATATAGATACATGGATATATTTGTCATTATGTGAGAATAGAACTTCCCTTCATTTAAACAAAGAACACTTTGATATACAAATTTTCATGCTAAGTAGTCCTTAATCTAAGTAACTAGGAGGCTAATAATCATATCACCTGTTTTGCTTTCTATTCCAACTACTATTCACTGTTCACTACTATTCAATGTGTATATGTCTGTATGTATATAAATTACATTTGTGTATATGTATCTGTGTATGCAGACACATTATCTATACACTTACGGATACTAAACTAATACATTCATTTCTCTGATTATTTTTTTCTTATTCAGATTTAATGCATTGTTTGAAAAGAAATACAAATATCTGAGATAACTTTGATTTATCTACATAAATGTGTTGTTACCTGGAATTATGTATTCACACAGGAAAAGAAATTTGTAATATGTAATATTACTCACATTTATCTATATTATGTTATAAAATAATAGAGCACATCTTCATGAATCTCCCTTCCTTATAAGTGCATATATAAATAACCAAAATGAAATAATAAAATAATCAAGTGATTTCTAAGCATTTATTAATTCATTTAACCTTCACAACAGCTCTCTGTAATGGAAATCATTATTAAGTTACAGTGAAACGCAAATTACAGTGAAATTAAGTATCCTTTCTATGTTCTTATATTTAGTAATCTTTTGAGCCAAATTTTGACTCTCTGGCTCCAGGTTAACCATCTCAGACTCCATACTGTGGTACCATTCAACGCACACGTGTAAATAGATCACATGTATATTACCCAGATTAATTTTTCCTGTATAACTATATATCTGCAAAACCACATATATACCATAAATTTCAGTGTCAAAGTTATCTTGAATTCTATTTCCCACCTCAGCTCAGAAGCTTTTGTTAGTCGCCCATGTGCCAAGACCAGCTTTGCAGGATGCAAGTGGCCATTATCCTCTTTGCTTTCTTGTCTCTGCCCATGACACCATCTCTCTTGCTCAACCCATGTTTAAATGCTGCTCCTACCACTCACTCTGCTTTTCTGCAGCATGCAGAGAGACCCAGCACTCATCACAGAGACCTGGGCTTAACTCATTTGAGTTACCCTTTCTGAGAGCTTTGACTCTTTGCTCCATGGACAGTTTGGTGCAAAACCTATCCATGCTTAGTCATGAGTACTCCCTGGAGGCTGAGATGCACTTGACTTTGAGATTTTGTCCATGACCTTGCAGTCTGAAGGAACATAAAAGGAGAGTTGCCTTAAGACTTTGTCCAGAATTTTAATTTCCCGTTCCTTTGTTAAAAATGGTGTTTCTCATTTTTCTCCAATGTATGTTCTTGTGTATCCATACTTGTGTACAAATATTTACTTTCTTCCTCAAAACTCTGTCCTTGACTATTTTAACCTTGTGTTTCCTCAAGCTTTCTCCTTGTCATGGATCTTGCAATTGCTTCTTCCTATTATAAAATATATTTGTGGTGGCATGATTGATGATCAGTGTGACTTTTTTTACTTAGATGTTTTAAACCAGTTCAATTACTGATTTAGACCCAGAGAGCCTAGGAAATGAACATGTATGGAGTTTCTGCTATTTGTGTGGGTCTGGCTTCCATGGGAAGGCTCACTTGTTACTACTGATGTCGTTTCCAGGCACGAGGGTTGGACTTGTCCCGTGTGCGGACGTGTGTGGTTGTTGCAGAAGAGCGGCCTCGAATAGCACTCACCCAGTCCTTCTCGAAGCTGTTTAAAGACCTAGGCCTCCATCCTCGGGCTGTCAGCACCTCCTTTGGCTGCAGAGTGAATCTGGCCATTTGCTTGCAGGTGAGTCCGCTCAACTGTGTCAGTGATAACAAGTGGCAGGCAGGCAGCACAGACTCGGTGGGTGTGGTTTCCTTGGCCCGTGCTGGCTTAACCATTGTTCACAACCACCACTTGCAGTGCTGATTCTGTGCTGGAACATTTTAACTCTCGTATCAGACCGCAGAGGCCAGGCTCTCTAAAGATCTCTGTACAAATATTTTTTGTGACAAGAAATTCTGTCTCCAAAAAAACTAGTCTCTGGTATGTGGACAGTGATTTCTAAAGGAAGAATTTACCTCTGTGATGGCAACATAGAAACAGCCATTATTACTGTTTATCTGTGTCACAGGTGCAACTAAGAGCACCCTCACACACACAAGATAGCCTTATCTTAACTGTAGCTAAAAAAATCCTCATTTCCTTTCCTTCTCACCAACTTCCTTGACTTCTCAACACACTACACAAAAATCCTTGGAGCTGCTTAGCCAGGTTAGCACGGCCTGAAAGGAAGGAAACGACAGCCCTTTAGGAATCCTCTTCCCACATGCCCGTCACACAATGGCCCCCAAATGAGTCAGTCCAAGTCCAGCCAAAGTCTCAGTCGCAGACTTTACTCCTCAGACATATTAAAAGTATAAAAGCTTTAACCAACATATGCTGGAGTGGATAATGGTTGACACAAGCTGCCTCCCCATTCTCTGCCCCATTCCCCCCCACCTCCCCCAAATACACCCCAACATGTGCCTAAGGTTACCATTTGAGTAGCTGGGTGACTGGATTAGTTCATGGTGCTGTCTCCTCACCAGCGCTGGCAGTGTGCGCACTCAGGCACGGCCTTGGCAGAGGAAGAACTTCCTTCCATATGACTATGTGATAAGATTGCTTCCAAAATTTAGCTTCAAGAAAAATAATTGTTATGTGTAGCTGTTCCTTGCCTCTCTCTTCCTTATTTTGAATTAGCTCCATATTTGAAAAAAATATAAATTACCAAATTCCTCTAAAGAGTCAGTTAAACCTTGTCTATGACTTAAGTCAATCCCTTTTCTAAAAGGTAATCTGAAGAGATTAATCTTAGTGCCTCCCTGGTGGTGCAGGGGTTAAAATCTCAGTGCTATCAAGCTATTGCCAGCCACTACGGCTTGAGTTCAATCCCCGGCCAGGGAGCTAACCCACATGGCACAGCAGACCACTCCTGTCTTGCCTGCTTCTCCCCTCATCAGTGTATTTCAGTAAATTCACCTGTTCTGCTCCCCACTCTGTCTGATGAATCTTCTCACTGCCCCCCCCACCTCTGGCCTATGCCCCAGTTCTTATATGCATAAATAAATAAATAAATAAATATCTTTTTTTAAAAAAAAGTTCATCTTGCCACTCTAGTTCTTTAATATTGGAGTTCTCTCTCCCTGTTCACCTTTACCTGCTCTTCTTGTTTCCAATCATCTATTCTATGCACAGAAATGGGAGGTACAGAAATTCATTCAAGTTAATTCAGTCATAGGCTATTTTTCTGCAAGTAGTAGGGAACAAATCAGGAAATCATGAGCAATGGACTAAGAGGTCACACTGGTATTTATTCTCTTTTCCCCTCTTGCTCAAAATGATGGCGGATGAAGAGAGACAAGTGTAGACACAGTCCCATAGTCATATAATAACATTTAGCACTGTCACTTCCGAAAGGTGGCAAAGAAAGAACTACAGCACTCTATGATACAAAACTGAAGCTTTGTAGATAGAAGAAAAGAACATATATTTATTTACCTCTTTATCATTTATTTCTGTCCACCAAGATCCAAAATATTTTAAGATGGTATATGGGGAAGGAGAAGACTAAGTTGGCAAAATAAAATGCACAAAAAATATTTTAAAAGATGGAGGTTTAAAAAAAATAAAGGTAAGAAGGTAACATAGACCCAAGAATGGAGTTTGTAAGTCAGTGCCAAGAGGGCCCTAAAATATGAACTCCATCATAACTATACTCACAGCCCCTCAAATAGTACCCGAGTTTGGAAATATTTGATCAATGTGTTGTGAGAATGTTTCATAGATGAAGTTCTGTATTCTCAATAGGAAATGATAATATATTCTTTTATAGAAAACAACTCCATCAATATGTCTGCTAGATTAAATGTAACACTGCAAGTCACAGGTCGTGGTGCTGTTTTACACCATGTATGTTTTACATTTTTTCTTCTTGCTTTATTCTCAACTCATTTTCAGTCAGCTTGTCTTTTTTGAGTGCTTGGTATTTGAAAATACCAATGTATAACTCAGTCAACCTGGGTGATACCAACTGCAGGCTTTCAGCCCCTTGCCAAATTCCTGGGGAAGAAGGACTTCAGGACTGAGGGTTTCCTGGCTTTTGGAGGAGGAACTACACACATGTGTCCTATCTGCTGTAGCTGCCCCCGCCTCCAATAGGCTATGGACTGTACCCCATAACAGAGCGATGTTTCTTCAGTTCACAGGGAATCTTGGCCAAGCTTTAACTAGCTTCATCTCAGTCTTGGCCAGATTTTACTCAAAATACTTTATTTATTTATTTTTTTAAATACATTTTATTTTTATATTCCCCATATAATTGCAACCCCCTTATTTTGACCCCAATCCCTCCCCATCTCCCCCCCCCCCATAGAGTGTCTCTGGTTCATAGTTTCAAAATACTTTAAAGAAAAAGTTTTGGGCTTTGTCAAATGTTTTTTTGTAATCTATGAGATAGACAGTAAACATAAAATGATTCTATTCAGTAAGTATATAAAATTCTTAGTAAAAACAGAGTAAGAGGAAAGAGCAACTTGGACACAGGGGAGGCAGCTGTAGGTCAGGTGGCCTCACCTTGAGGCGGTACTGAGTGTCCTGTCAGGTGAAAAACCTGGACAGAAATTGTACCTGTACCAGCACAGGTACAAAAGCCTTGAGGCAGATCTGGTCATTGGAAATATTGGTTTTCTATTTGTCTTTGCAAAAATTAAAAATTGCATGATGTAGTAGCAAACATCAGGTGTAGCCCAGAGTCCTAGCTGGAAACCCCATGTCTCTGTCCCTTCTTTCTGTCGTCATGTTCCTCTGGGACCTGACTTGTAATTCAGGCCTAATGAGGACTTGGAAAGTGTTCTGACAAAAACTGAATTTTTATGAATCTCTGGACAAAGAAATAAGAAAAAGAACCTGAACATTTCTGAATTTAAAAAAAAAAAATTTCTTTGTGATTTTTTTTTAAACAGAAGAATATTTATTTTAGGAAACAAAATCAGGAAATACAGATGAGCCACAAATAAGAACACTCATATATCCCTTTCCCAGAGGTAACCACAATTAATCCCTCCTTGATGTAAAAAATCAAAACCACAAAAGCTAAGATCTTCCCTAAATTCTAAACCTTGTACCTAAATGTTCAAAGGCATAAAAAATCTATGCTTTTCTGTTCGAAACACCAGCATCGCTGATCTATGTGAAATCGGCGAGTGGGTATGTTTGTTTTCAGTTGATTTGTTGGTTTTGACAGCATTAAAAACCTCAGTTGGGTTTCTGTCATTCTCATCACACTCACACTTGCAGAGGCAGCGTTATTGGGAAGGGAGGAGCTAGATCTCTGCAGGATGAGGAGTGAACTCAGGGTGTGCCTGAGTGAGCTGAGCCTGTTTTCTAAGCCACACAGGCACAGTGTTCTGTGACTCCATGGGGACCACTTTCAAAGGGCTCTCTGGCCTTTGAGGAAGGCTGTTGTACAGGTTTGTGTGACTGTAATGGAATGTATCTTATGCAGGCAATTTTAAAAATTATATGGAGATAGTGGTGTGTTTTCACTCTATAAAAACCTTCACCTAAGGCCTCTGAAGCAGCCTTTAGGACCTCTCTCCCCACCTATTAGTTTCATGCACCACATCTTTCTCTAGCACAGACTTTTGCATGATCTTCTGATTTCTGCCTCTCACTGTTCTCTGCTGGAAATGAACTTCCACCATCTTCACTTGGCAAAACATGTTCTCTTTCCAGGTTGTTTTCTGATTCCTCCAGCTAGAAGTTTTTATTCTTTCCTCTGGATTCCCACAGTGCTTTATCCCTCCCAGCTATTTAGCATTTTCTAGTACATATAGTGATTTATATCAAGATCTATGTTCCATCTCTCTGTGATTAGCTGTTAGAGAACATGGTCTCAGGGACCCCTCAGCAGATAGCACAGCATCTCACATATTCACAGCGACTTTTTGAAATTAAATGAATTTCATGAAAGTACTAAATTCAATTCCTTAACTGTAGCTATTATTCACAGTAGAGAAATTATATATACTTTTTGACCAGTCAAGTCTGTTTAAAGTAAGTAGATTGTATTGAATGTTCTCTGAAATAAATCCATGCTGTGAATTTCCATAAATAAAAGCCCATTGCATCATTTCTAACCTTTCCTTGCAAATGAAAACTAAGGGTTTACAGTGACACTCATCTCAACAGGTCTATGGCTGGTAGCTTAAGAAATACACATTCACACTCAAAATAAACTAAAATAACAAAAACAACAAAAAACATTCTTTACAAATGTGTTCATTTGTTCATTCATTTCCAGGCTGCCTGTCATTAGATCTTCCCAAAGCTCATTGAGAGGTAAAATTGTCATTTATTTTAAGATTATTTAAAGAATTTCTGTCATTTAAGATGATGGAAATAATAGCTTAGAAAAATTAAGCTGACAATGCAGAGCAGGGAAGTGAAAGCAAGTCTCAGAATTGAGCTTTAACTGTGATGCTGTGGAGTATGTACAGCAGAGCATCTTAAAGAAATGTAGCCAACATTTTGCGATTTTGTTAGGTGCCAATCCCGTCTGTGATTTGTTACTCAAGGTGAAGAAACAAATGCTGCTTTGTAATTTCAGTATTTACAAAACTGAAGCGTGTGCAGGCAGAATGGACTCTATTGTAACTGCTTCCTTCCCTCTAACGTTTTAAATCAGAGCAGTTGTTGATAGTGGAGGAGTCATCCATCTGTTGTCATTCACATGGGGAACACACCATTAAAGGAGGGTGTGG